ACAAGAACTCTCATACACTGTTGGTGGGATTGTAGAATGGTACAACCACTCTGGAAAGCAGTTTGGCATTTCCTCAAAAAGCTGAGCATAGAAATTCCTTTTGACCTGAATTATTCCACTGCTTGGAATGTACTCGAGGATAATTAGAACTGAGGCACAAACAGATTTGTATACCAGTGTTCACAGCAGCATTATTCACCATCCCAAGAACATGGAAACACCCCAAATATTCAACCACAATTGAATGGATTGAGAAAGTATGGTACATTCACACAATGAAATACAGGAACAATGATTTTGAAAATCACTGCCTAACTTGGGAGGGACTGGAGAACACTATGCTAAGTGAACTAAGTTGGTCCCATTATTAGACCATTTTTGTAGAAATAGATAACTAGTATAATGTCTGTGAGGATCCAAGAGGGGGCAGGTTAGGAGCAGAGGGGTGTGGGTGGGTAGGAAGGTAATCATAGGGTCGTACAATTTGATGGGTAGAGCAAAGGGTGGATAAAGGAAATGGAAAAAATCCAGTATGAAGAACAATGCTTATGGACTTTGTAAGTAAACCAATATAAAATAAAAAATTTACTTTTTTTAAAAAAGGAGTTGTTATGAATCAGAATCTATTTGATGGCACTGGGCATGGTTTTGGTTTAGTATATTAAACCTCTAATTCAAACTAAAATGAATAATAAAGTAATCAAGGCTCAATAAAAATTTTTTGTAACATCAAAAAGCCCTAGAGCCAGAAATTATTTATAGGCAACACCATTAGGTTTTGAGCATTGAGATGTGGACTGTTTTTGTTTAAGACTGTTTTATGTTTTAAGGCAGGAATAGGTGTCTTCTTGATATAGCTGTGACTTATTTATGAGTTAAAGTAATTACTGTTTTTCAATGATAGATAAAAAAATTTTCTAAACCTAAAACTGAGGAGGACCTCATGCACTTGCTGCGGAGGGTCAAGGACTGCAGCCTTCAGTATGGACTGAAGCTCAGTGTCAAGAAGACAAAGATTCTCACCACTGGACCAATTGGCAGCGTCAGGATGGATGGCAAAGAGATTGAGATTGTTCACAGCTTCAGTTTGCTCAGCTCCACAGTCAACACTCTTGGCACCAGCAGTCAGGAAATCAAAAAGTGTATTGTGATGGGAAAGTCTGCTGTTAGGGACCTCTCTAAAGTACTCAGGAGCAACAGTGTCTCTCTGGAGACTAAGGTGTGCCTGATACAGGCCATGGTCTTTGCAATCGCTTGTTATGCATCAGAGAGTTGGACAGTGACTAGGGAGGACGGAAGGAGAGTTGATGCCTTTGAGCTGTGGTGCTGGAGAAAGAAGAGTATTGAATGTACCATGGACTGCCAGGAAAACAAACAGATTCATCTTAGAGAGAATTAAACCAAGCTACTCCTTGGATGCAAGGATTCTGGGGCTTCATCTGACATACTTTGGACATGTTGCCAGGAGGGACGGGTCCTTGGAGAGGGACATCATGCTTGGGAGGGTGGAGGGACAGCGCAGGAGGGGAAGACCCTCTATGAGATGGATTGATTCGGTGACTGGGGTAATCGAGATGGATGTGTCAGAGGCAGTACGGTTGGCGCAGGATAGAGCAGGGTTTAGGGCTTTTGTGCATAGGGTCGCTATGAGTCGCAAACGACTCGACGGCACATAACAACAAACAAAACAAAAATTACCAACAATCCTGTAACTCAAGAGTTATCTGCTTTTAACACTTTTAGAGAGTATTTAAATGATTCTCTTTGCAAAGATAAGTGTGTATATATGTGCATACGGGTGTGAAATGAGGTTATGTGTATGTTGTTTTTGTTGGTGTGTGCTGTGTAGCCAGACCTGACTCACTTTCTTCATTTTTAAGGCTTTAGAGAAGGGATTGTTATACATCATATACCTTCTCAAAACAATTATATGCCTTTTCAAAAACTACTTCCCCACTCCCACCCTTCCCCCAAGTACTTTAAATTATTTGGGTCTGGAGATACATAGAAAATGCAGAAACTGGAAAACAAGTTACAAAAAAACAATAATGTTTAATTCTGAGCCATTTAACAAAGAGCAGTTTTATGTGAAAACAAGATTTCATAGATACATAGACAGTTGTAGTAACACAGAAAACAGCTTCTGGAGTTACATTTTAATGAGAAAAGGCTGTCAGAGGGGTTGTGCACAACCTCAGGGCCCCTGTGGATATGTGTACAGGGAAAAATTTTTTTTTAAAAAAAAAAAATCTTTTTACTAAATATAAAGGAAATGTAATTATAGGAGGAGAATTGAATGGCCGAAAAGTTCTATGGTTATTCAATGAAACTAAACTATTTCTTTTAAATAGTGTTTTCATATGAAAATTCTGTTAAGTGACTTTGTCCTAAACTGTATTCTTGTCTTACCTCTATTGTCACATCTTGGGAAAGCCAGCCCCACTAGACAACAATCGTGGATTATTCATTAGTTGGATCAGGAGCACCATAGTTTTTAAACTGACATTCTTGCTCTTCAGTCCTTTGTAGAGGTCCTGGACAGAATATTTCCCAATGTAGCATGTCTTTTCTTTCTGCTGCTACAATGGGTGTTGATGGTGGATCCAAATAAAATGAAATCGTTGCCAACATCAGTCTTTTCTCCTATCATGATGTTGCCTACCAATCCAGTGCTGAAGATTTTTGTTTTCTTGATGTTGACATGTAATCCATATTGAAGGCTGTAGTCTTTAATCTTCTGCAGTAAGTGCTTCAAGACTTTTCACATAGTGCTGAGTAGATGTTGGGTGTTTGGCCCATCAAGAGGATTGATTCACTTGCTAATAATGTAAATAACACCTTTTTAGTAGGGACATGCAAATAAGATGTACAGATCAATAATATGGGGGCTGGTCTGTTTTGCCATCCAACCAGACTTAAGTTGAGCAGTTTCAGAGTCAAAAAAACAGGGATCTCATTACCAGCAAATTAGAAGAAGTGGAGAACGTACCATCTTTTGAGTCAGAGACCAAGACATGGCAGCCCAGACAGCAGCAGCAGTACCAGCAGCAGTGGCAGAGGACATGGGAAATCAGAGGCTGGTGGAGATAGAATTGATCTAGATCTGCTGACTCTCAGATACAGAGCTGAACACTGGCCTAGACTTACTGGCAGAATGGGGGTGGCAAATAACTGACAGAAGTAAAAGGAGTTTGTAACAATTGGTTGAGGGCAGGACCTAAAGCTGTGAGATCCAGGGTCCGGAGTCTGCCTGCCTCCAAGGCTAAGAAGAAGTTGTCCTGCTTGAAGAACTGTATCCTGAGCATTCCAGTCTGACTTTTTTTACTTGCAAGGTGGGACCAGTCCTTGGAGAGGGATGTCATGCATCAGAGGGTGGAGAAGACAGTGCAAGAGAAGACAACCCTGGATGAGATGGACTGATTCAGTGACTAGGGTAATGGGGATAGATGTGTTAGAGATAATAAGACTGGCACAGGATAGAGCAGGGTTTAAGGCTGTTGTACACAGGGTCACTATGAGTCACAGGCAACTCGATGGCCCATAACAACAACAGTAAACCCTATGATCATGAATATTGGCTGGGAGTTCTGTATGCCATTGCAATAAATTAGCAAACTCAGAGCTGTGGGTGGGATAGTTGATGCTAGAAAATGGAGTGAGAGGGGCGTGTCTGACTTCATAGACAATCAGCTTTGTATTAATGCTAAAATATCTAGAATAGCAGTTAATGTTCTTGATAGGGATTCTTTACCCTTGTGGAGTTGGTGGAAGTCAGATGTCACCATCCCCATGCCCTTTATTTACAACCACCATCATTCACTTAAGCAAATTAGAAATAGCATTTTACAGTTTATTAAAAGCTTTCACATATCATTCATACTAGTGTCATTTATTGACACCAAAATATTGACAGAATGCTTATAAGAAAGTTATTTATCTTCCACGTGTTTAGCCTTATAAGCCTAAACGTACAAGATAATAATGGACCTGTATCCCTACAGCCTTGAATTAGGCAATACATGCTAAGAACACATTGACAGCCACGAGTTCCTGAGGAACAATATTGTGTTTATAGCTTATTCCATGTCAGGTACAGTGTGAAATATTTTCTGGCCCAAGGCCATGATTGTACAATTAAAACTAATGATGCTATCCAGAGTCGACAGTACAGACGGCAACATTTTCATACTCAGTTATATTTGGTGTTTTAATAAAACAGACACCAATATCATTTCAGTGTTCTCTCTGTTATGAATCCTACTGTGTTAGCAATTGCATGGTTGGTTAGATTAATGTATGATAATGATTCAGTATTTGAAATGATGAGGCTTGTCTCTTTCTCTATGAAATTCTAATTTGTAGTGAGTGGCTCAGAACACTCAGATTTGAATTATTCTGTTTATGCAAGAAGTCATTTATTAAATAAAGATGATGTTAGTAATTTATAAACCAGTGGTTTGAGTCAGCTTAACTTTTTGGTTTGTAAATGAAAAAGGTTTAGTTGCTTTGATGAATTATATTCAACAACTCTCCAATTTTAAGTCAACTGTTAATAGAGGGATGGGGGGCCCTCCAGGCATGTTATTTAAGGGATAGTTTCTATCATTGCTTATCACAGTGACAAATGTTGCATGTTTTTAAGCTATTATATACATAGCTTTTCATGTGTCCATGTACCTAAGCACATCTAGACAATGTGGACTGAGATTAGTATTTTAAGGCACTGAATTGTGCAAGTAAGAAAAATTAAACTTCAATTTATACTCAAATATGATTCATATTGGAGAAAGTTAAAGGAACTTCTAAAATGTTTTCTTCTCAAATTTATCAAAAAATTTAAAAAAATCTATCAACCAAGATAAACTTAAGAATCAAAAAGATATGTTTTAACTTTGTGTATAAACCAGTATAAATTTTTTAAAAAAAATAGTAAACAAAAGAAAGGTATGTTCTTTTAAAAGAATTAAGAATGAAAATGGAGGTACTTTTTTTTTTTTCAGTGTAAAACCTGTTCTGAGCCAAAACAGATTACCAGTTCATCTGCCATCTATGACAACCCCAATCTCATCAAACCAATTCCAGTGAAGCCCAGTGAAAACCAGCAACAGCGTATACCTCAGCCCAGCCAGGTACATGTCCTCTGCTTTTCATCTAGTGTTTCTATAGGATTCTTTTTCTTCCCTGAGTATTTTATTGTGTTCGGGTGAAAGTTTGCAGAGCAAATTCATTTCCCATTCAGCAGTTTATACACAATTTAATAAATTACATTAGTTACAATCAACACTCATCCCACTTTCCCTGATTTCAAGTTTCTGTTCATACATCTTTCCTGACTCTAGTTTTCTGAGCTTTGTTTTTGAGGAAACACTGCCCTTTTTGTCTCCTATGTTTGATTTTTTTTGAGGAATATATATTCTTCATTTATCTTCCTCTTGTTTTATCTCCAGGAGTAGAGTCAGTTCCAGGTTGAAGGATATTTAAGGACCATAATCTCTGGAGTTCCACCAGTCTGTCAAACTAGTTAAGTTTGATAGTTTTAAATAATTTTGGGTTTGGTCTGATTTGTTCTCCCATTCTATAGTGATCTTGATTGGAGAAGTCGATAGGGGCCGCCAGGTACCATCTAGTTCTTCTTGTCTCAAGCTAGTGGAGACTGGGCTTTGTGTCACCCATTAGTCCTTCAGACTAATTGCTTCCTTGAGTCTTTGATTTTCTTTATTCTTCTTTGCTCAGGACTGGAACAGCTGCATCCTAGATGGCTGCTCGAAAGTTTAAGACCTCAACTACTACTCACTAGAGATACACAACACTGTCTCTGTGGACTGAGTTAAGCCAGTTGAGAAAAGTGTCCCAAAAAACTATGGTCCTAAGCTTTTATAAAATTCATATAGAACTTTTAACCATAATATAGTCAAGAAGGACCTGGTACTGTCTAATAATTCTTAAAAGTTACTCTGAGGAAGAGAATTTTTAAATAAGAGGCTTTTTCTTATTATTTAGTTTTTTCTTTCAGTTATTTTTGTTGTTATATGCCATCAAGTCACCTGTGACTCATAGCGAACCTATGTACATTAGCTCTTAAAAGCTGCCCTACCATGTGCCACTTTCATTGTCTCTGACAGTCCTAATCCCATTGGTCCAGTTACTGAGTCAATCCATCTCATCATGGGTCTTCCTCTCCTGCACTGTCCTTCACCCTTCCAGGCATGGTGTCCCTCTCCAAGAACTGGTCCCTCCTGGCCATGTGCCCAAAGTATGTGAGACAAAACCTCAAAACCCTTGCCTCCAGGGAGCAAACTGGTTTCACCCTCTCTGGAACAGACCTGTTTGGCAGTCCATGGTATGTTCAGCGCTCTTCTCTAGCACCACAACTCAAAGGCATCATTCCTTCTTCTGTCATCTTTCGTTATTGTCCAGCTCTCAGATGCATAGCAAGTAATTGCGAAGATCATGACCTGCATCAGGTGAACCTTAGTTTCCAGACTGAGATTATTGTTCTTCAGTATTCTAGAGAGGTCCCTGACAGCCGACTTTCCCAGTGCAGTTCACCTGTTCATTTCTTGACTCCTGGTGCCAGGAGTGTTGCTTGTGAAGCCAAGCAAGCTGAAGTTATCAACAAACTTAGTCTCTTCTCCATCCTGAATCATGAAGCTGCCAATTGGCCCAGTGGTGAGAATCTTTGTGGGTTTTGTTTGTTTGTTTGTTTTTGTTTTGTTTTTTTATTGTGGGTTTTTTTTTAGAATCTTTGTTTTCTTGAGGTTGAGCTTCAATCCATATTGAAGACTACAGTCCTTGACCTTCTGCAGCAAATGCCTCATGCCCTTCTCAGTTTCAGCAAGCAAGGTTGTTTCAGCACACAAAGTTGTGTCATCTGCATAACACAGGTTGTTGTTGAACCTTCCTCCAATCCTGATACATTTCTCCTCATAAAGTCCAGCTTCCCAAATGATCTGTTCTGCATATAGATTGAAAAGGTATAGAGATACAATGCATCTCTGGTGCACACCTTTCCTGACAGTAGGGTTAAATTTTTGCTTTTGGTATTTACCACAAACTATGACTTGAACTCTATTAGTTTCCTAGGGATGCTATACAGAATACCGAGTGACTTAACAATATTCTTAACGATACTGGTTCAGGAGGCCCAAAGTTTGAAATGAAGTTATTGCTAGAGACTCTGAGGGAGAATCCATGTCTGTCTTCTCACTTTCGGTGGTTATTGACAGTTTTTGGCATTCCTTGGCTTGTAGCTACATTACACCAGTTTCTGCCTCCATCTTCACATGACCAACTTTCTTCTCTGTGCATCCTCTGTGTCTTTGTCTAAATTTCCTAGTCATTATAAGGACACCAGTCATTGATTTATGGCCCACTAAAAACTAGTTTGATCTCATCTTAACTTGATTGTATCTGCAAAGATTCTGTTGCCAAATAAGGTCATAATCACAGGTTCCAGGTATGTTTAAGGATACATTATTCAAATCCAGAACAAACTTTGTAGGTAATGATGTACTTTTAAAAGCCTATCAGAGCTAATATAAACATCACTCTTTAAGCCCAAATTTCTCAAGGGTAGACCACTGAGATAATGAGAACAAAGTCCAGTTTAACTTTTCTGAGCCCTCCCTTTGAACCATCTACAGTGCTAGACACAATGTAAATAAAATGGGGTTCCTGTTCTTAAAGGAGTTACAGTCTTAAAAATGGATATAGGACTTCCTTTTAAGCATGACTTGTCATTTTTTTCTGTCTAAAACATAAATGTCATAGAGATTTTTATGTTTTTCAGAATAATACACATTAACCAAATTTGCTAATCTGTAGGGCCCTTTGTTGATTCCTTATTCAGATTTTTCCCTCCCCCCTTTATAAGGAATTTTTAAAATTAATTTTGAAATAACCATGTTATCTTGTATTAGGGTTTTAAATAAGTTTTCTATTATTAGGTGCTAACAAGTCAGAACTGACTCACAGCTGACCCTTCACCAGTTTTTCAGAGGCCTAAACTGCACAGGAGGAGATGGCCCATCTTTCTTCCATAGTTTTCTATGATCTTTCTTTCCTTTTTTGCTTCCCATACAGCCAAAGTATATTTTGAGTCTTGAAAGATCTCATTAAAGCTACCATTGTTGCTGTTAACTGGCACCAAGTAAATTACAACTCATAGTGATCTATGAACAGTGGGGTCTGAACCCCACCCTACCCTGTGCCATAGTCATCATCTCTGACACACTTGAGCCCACTGGTACAGTCACCATTAATCCATCTCATTGAGGACCTTCCCCTCCACCTTTCCAAGCATGATCCTTTTCCAATGACTAGTCCCTCCTAACAACATGCCCAAAGTACGTGACATGACCAAGTTTCACTGTCCTTGCCTCCAGGGAGTACACGGAGTACACTTTTCCAAGACACATTTGTTTGTCTGTGGAATATTTGGCACTCTCTTTTAAAAAATTTTTGTGTTTTGTTATTTTATTATTTTTGGGTGTGTACTATCAAATCTGATCTAACCGGTACAGGAGGAGATTGTCCCTCCTTCTCCAGCAGAGCATCTGGTGGATTTGAACCACACACCTCTGGGATTGCAGTGCAGCTTCCTGCCACTAGACCAGCAAAACTCCCTAATATTTGGCACTCTTCTCCAACACTTTAGCTCAAAGGCATTGATTCCCTTTCTGTCATCCTTATTCATTGTCCAACTTTCAGAAGCATAGCAAGTATTTGAAAAGATCATGGATTTGATCAAGTGCACTTTGGTCTTCAAACTGACATCTTTGCTCATCAGCACTTTGGAGAAGTCCCCAACAGCACACTTTCTCAATACAATATGTCTTTTGATTTCCTGGCTACTAATACCAAGGGTATCAATTGAGGATCCAAGTATTTTTGTTTTCTTGATGTTGGAATGAAACATTGATCCTTTGCAGCAAGCATTTCAGGTCCTACTCACTTTTGGTAAGCAAGGTTGTGTCATTTACGTAACACAGGTTGTTGATGAGTCGTCCTCTGATCCTGAGGCCACCTCTTCTTCATGAAGTCCAGCTTCTCCAAAGATCTGTTCAGCATATAGATTGAATAGGTATGGACAAAGGATACAACCCTGATGCACACCTCTTCAGATTTTAAATCATGTAGTGTCCTCTTGCTCTGTTCATACCACAGCTCTTGGTCTGGATATATTATAGCTACTAGTGAGGAGAGACCGGTCCTTGGAGAAGGACATCATGCTTGGTAGGGTGGAGGGACAGCGCAGGAGGGGAAGGCCCTCTATGAGGTGGATTGATTCAATGATTGGGATAATCGTGATGGGAGTGTCAGAGACAGTGCGATTGGCACAGGACAGAGCAGAGATTAGGGCTGTTGTACATAGGGTCGCTATGAGTGGCAAGCGACTCGACGGCACATAACAACAACAACAGTGTATAGTGAAAAGGATCATGTGTATTGTTCTAGCCTTTAATAAATTCTATAAAAAGCTACCTGAAATCTCATATTCCTGTACATTTTTGGTATTTCCTTGTATGTTGCTATGTTAGATGGATTTCTTATTGACGAGAATATTTACCTTTTAGAATATTGTTTTGTATCACAGTTGTTTTCAATTTATGAATCTTAAGACTTCCCATGGATCATTAGCCTATTTTATCAATTAACAAACACTAAAACAGAACAACTATCCTAAGGTGGAAAGGGAGAGTGTTGTGGAAATGTTTAACATGAAAAATGTTATTTTTTTTTTACCTTTAACCATGTGAAAGTTTATTATAATGATGTTTTCCAACTTTTATGTTTTTATTTGTTCCAGACCTTAGACCCTGAACCCCAACACTTATCACTGAAGGCTCTCTTTGGGAAGCAAGACAAAGCTACATGTCATGAAATTGTGGCATCTCTACCAACCTTCCACCAGCAGCAGCAGCAAGAGAAACTTCTTCCACTTAGGCAGGGGGTTGTACGGTCCCTGTCGTATGAGGAACCCAGTATATACTCACCTCCTCTGGAGAAGCAGCTCTGCCCAGCCATCCAGAAACTCATGGTCAGGGGTGCAGACCTCCACCCACTGTCAGAGCTGCCCGAACACCGGCCCTGTGAAAACGGCAGTCCCCACTGTCCTGGGGAAGGACTCTTCCAGCCGGCCTCACCCTGCCACATTGGGACTTCTCTGCATATCCAGAATGCTTCCAGAACTCAGAACCTGTTTGAGACACTGCAGAGTGTCCCGGGGGGCAGAGTGCTCCAGAGTGGCAGTACCCCAGGACCTGCGAGCTCAGCTGCCACAAACTTCAGCAGTATTTTCCCTGCTACCACCCCGGCAGCTCCAGGAAAGGGTCTGCTGCAACCACAGGTGGTATATTTCAATGGCTCCCTTCCACCGGAAACTCTTGGACATCAAGCTCCTAGGAAGGAACAATCAGCACTCCCAAGGCCAGCTCTTCCCCTGGCCTGCACCCAAGCTAGCAGTCCTGGGGTGGTCTCCCCACAGGAACTTCTGAGAAAGCTCCAGATCGTGCAGCAGGAGCAGCAGCTGCACACACCCAGCCGCCCAACCCTGGCAGCTAAGTTTCCTGTGGTAACTCAGAGTTCTAGGACAGTGAAACCCTTGGAATCTTGGATCGACAAGACATCCCACACAGAAAGGCAGACTCCTCTTTTTCAGGTAAATATCCATCAAGGCAAGTGATGCAACAACAAAGTATTACTATAAAGCAACGAAATGTAGGGTTGGCTCTGTGCTCTAGACCCCATGTCTCACATTCCCTTCTGTTTGGAACAGGTGCCAAAGCTATATCAGTGCATCTTTTTATCTCCTTAACTTTCTGTCTGCAAAGAGAGTCATCTCTTTGCTCAGCTCTATGGTAGTATCCACTGTTTTAGAGCTCATTTATTTATAGATCTGATTCTCTGCAACGTTTTACAGCCTGAAGACCAAGATAGACATGGAAAGAATCTTTATAATCTTTAGTTGTGGAAGTATATGGTCTGCTTTGAAATTTCTAAGGGATGCCAAACATCTGATCTTCTCTTACTTTTAAATCCACTGTAAATGATTATCTATTCAATAAATACCCATCTAGCACTTGCCACATGTCAGATTCTGTGATAAATGTGAGTACTTAACAGTAAAGAAAACAGACTCCTACCTCTTCAGAGCCCACCATGCTGTAAACTAGTGTAGTAAATAAACACACACAAAAAACTTATTTATGTGACTCCTAAAAGGTACAGCAATCTTCATTGTCTGTAGCAAATGGAGACCAGAAGAGGGAAGAGTACACCCCAACACACACAAATCTGAAGAGACAGAAAAAGACTGTTTCCTCAGGAGAGATGGTTTTCTGTGTCCATTGATAAATTGGAACAGTTCAGTAATCTTTATAACTTCTAGAAGAAAACTCATCACTTACTACTGATAACATTTGCAGATTAAAACCCTGGGTTTCCTCCCCTTTGGATTGCTACAGATTCATTCAAAATGCACTTGATCTGAAAATTAAACTATATACATATACACACACACATATTCCTCTGTGTCTCTTTCTCTCTCTCTCTCTCTCTTTATCTCATCTCATTGCTGTCAACTTGGAACAGACTCATAGCCAACCCCACAGAAAGTTTTCAGAACCAGTAAATTGCACAGAAGACTGTCTGTCTTTCTCCTGAGGAGCAATTGGTGGAGCTGAACCAAGTTCTTTGGGCTAGCGGTTAAAAAAAATTTATAGATATATATGTATGTATGTATATAATCATTATTAAAATAAAAATCTGACTATCTACTGCTAAAATAATGTTTCTAACTCACCCTTCCCCATTTTCTTAAGGCAAGATGATGGCACAACAGCTAAAATACTCAGCTACTAGCCAAAAAAATCAGTGGTTCAAACCCACAAGCCACAGCGAAGGAGAAAGCTGTGGCCATCTGCGCTGTGCAGAGGGACCACCTTACGCCCCATCCAGCAGTCCTGCCCTGCCCTACAGCAGTGCCAGCAGACAGAATCAATGCAGTGGCAGTGGGTTTGGCTTAAGTGATTGTTTCCCCTTTAAATTTCTACTCTTTCTCTTGCTGATTTAGCACTGGGCACTAGAGAGACTGGGATTAGTAGTGTGACTTAAATTTCTGTCTATCTAATTCTTTTTCTTTCTAGTACTCAGTAGTATGGAGAGACAAGGAAGGGGTGTATACATTCTGGCAGCCCCCACTGCTCCTTTGGATTGGTACAAGTTCATTCAAAATGCAGGTCTATTCTGAGCACTGCTCCTCAAAATACCAAGTAGGCACAAGTTAAAATAAACAGCTTACCTCTCACTAGGGTAGTTTTTGTCCAAAAAGAGGCCAAAGGACTGATTATGAATTATAGTATCTTCTAGATTTCTGGCCCTTATGCTTCCCTTTCATGAACTGTTTTGGGATTTTAGGGAACTGAAAGAAATGGGCTTGTTGTTTTTTTTTTCTGCATTTGCGGTAGAAGGAAATGAAGAACAGCTCTAGGAGTCAGCCAGATAAGGATCAAAATATTATTAGCATAACTGCTAACACTGCTGGATAATTCTGTTTGGGGTTGTTCGCCAAGCTCAGCTTACACCCCTGACAGACTTAACCAGACAGGAAAGTCATTGCGGTGCTAAGGGAGGCCAGCCCTCCACTGGTCCTGCCCTAGAATTTATAAAGAAAGGAAACCCATGCTCTCTGAAAGCAAGCAGGCATAGTCTATAAGGAAAGGACCCCAGACAGGATACATCCAGACAGACAGCCCCCTTCCTGGGGAGAGGTGAAGAGAAGGCAGAGAGAGGCCGCCAAGATTACTATCGTGAAGTTCCTCTACACAGAGAGATTAGCAGTGGGAACTGGCTGTGCCCCTTAACTAGTACATCAGTGCCAGCGGATTGCTGGGCCTTTATATCAACGTTCTGACGACTGTCCCTGAGGAAAGGGCTTCTAGGAAAGTGCATGTGGCCAAGTAATTCTAGTAAACCTGAAAAATCAAGTATTACTCAGACGCCAGGCTTTAAATACTATGGAAACAAGCCACAAGTGCACCAGCAGACTGTGTACCAGAGCTCTTAGTAACAACAAAGGAAAATATATGAGAAATCGAACAGAAATCAGCTATCTTACATGCTTTTCCTACCCACGGAGCTGTGAATAATTACTACGTAAACTCACCTGTATCTACTGCTGCGCGAGAGGGGCGTCTGTCTCTGCGACTGTCATTTGAATGAATCCCACCCTCTGTGTCTGTCTGCTCTAAGCAGGTCATCTCACCTCAGCACATCCCTGTGACAGTGGCTCCGTCTCTGCTCATGCCGCCCATGGTGTTCACACAGCCCACCTCTGCCCCATCAAAGGAGCAAGACACAGGACTCCTGCCCTTGGGAAGCCAAGAACCAAGCGCTGCTGCGCCCAGCAGCCTCTTCCTGCCTCTGCAGAACCCACAGGCTTCCTCAATCACCAGCAGCCCTCTGACCAAGCTGCAGCTTCAAGAAGCACTGCTGTACCTCATTCAGGTAATAGGGACACACTGTCTCTCTTCTTTTCACCTTACCAAAACTTCCACCCTTTTGAGTGTAGCTCTGAGATAAGGATTCATTTAACTAATGCTTGCTGTGTCTCTATGAGTAAGAGGACTATCAAACAACTCATTGTGGCCCAAACAGCTTTTGCACTTGGCTGTTGTTGTTATGTGCCGTCGAGTCGCTTGCGGCTCATAGCGACCCTATGTACAACAGCTCTAAACTCTGCTCTGTCCTGTGCCAATCGCACTGTCTCTGACACTCCCATCCCAATTATCCCAGTCACTGAATCAATCCTTCCCCTCCTGCGCCGTCCCTCCACCCTCCCAAGCATGATGTCCTTCTCCAAGGACCGGTCTCTCCTCACAACATGTCCAAAGTATGTTAGACGGAGCCTCAGAATCCTTGCCTCCAAGGAGCCACCCTGTTTAACCCTTTCCAGGATGAATCAGTTTGTTTTCCTAGCAGACCATGGTATTCTCAATACTCTTCTCCAGCACCACAGCTCAAAGGCATGAATTCTCCTTCTATCCTCCTTGGTCATTGTCCAACTCTCTGATGCATAACAAGTGATTGTGAAGACCATGGCCTGTATCAGACGCACCTTAATCTCCAGAGAGACACCATTACTCTTCAGTACTTTGGAGAGGTCCCTAACAGCAGACTTTCCCATGGCAATGCGCCTTTTAATTTCCTGGCTGCTGGTGCCAAGATTGTTGACTGTGGAGCCAAGCAAACTAAAGCTGTGTACAATCTCAATCTCTTCACCATCCATCCTGATGCTGCCAATTGGCCCAGTGGTGAGAATCTTTGTCTTCTTGACATTGAGCATCAATCCATATTGGAGGCTGCAGTCCTTGAGCCTCTGCAGCAGGTGCTTCAGGTCCTCTTCATTTTCAGCAAGCAGGGTTGTGTCATCTGCATAACGCAGATTGTTGATAAATCGTCCACAAATGCACTTGGCTAGCTAGATGATATTCAGAATAGTAAGCGTGGCTTTGGTTGTCTCAGCTCTTTACGAATTTTATAATTTGGAGGTTGACTAAGCCCTCCAAGCTATTCGCCTGTCAGAAAAGAAAATGGCATGCACTTTGTGTGACCACTGAGAGGGCGCCTGGTGCCACTGGTGCCCAAATGTGGAGCTCAGAGCTGGGAGACAGAGGCCAGAGGAGCCCTTGGAGCAAGCAGCAGACTGTTAGAGTGGAGCCCAAACACTCATTTGAACAAATAGCAAACAAAGAAGGAGGGTAGGCTGTGACCTTGCACAGTTCGAGGCCACCAGCTGCTCCACAGGAGGCTAGGCAATCTTCTCCTGTGCGATTAACTGCCTCTGAAAACTCGCTGGAGGGCCAGCTATGGTTGGTTCCAACTCTATGGTACACAACAACCATCTTGATAGGATAGGAGTCCTTTTCAATTAATTGTCTCAATGATGGACTCTTCAGTACCACTTACTAACAGTAATAGCAGGGAGCTCTGATGACCTTCTAGGTATGGAGTTTAAACTCCCAGCTCAAAGGCAGGTGTTTAAAATGCACCAGCTGCTCTGAGGGAGAAAGGCACGCAGTAGCCTTCCGTGTAGTTTACAGCCTCTGAAAACCGGCTGGAGGGTCAGCTATGAGTGAGTTCTGATTTGATAGCACTCCAACAATAGCTAACACACACCCAAAGTTTCTTGCCAGGCACTATATATATTATAGCACATTTAGTCCTTATGCAATAATCTCCTTATTTTCCCGACAAGGAAAATGAGGTTGAGTGACTGCCTGAGGCCAGATAGCTAATAGTAAAAGGGTAGAGCTAGAATTGAATCCAGTATCATCCTGGGGTGCTCCTGCCCACGGACTGAGGTGAGGGACAGTGCCTCTGGGCAGCCTGCCCAGCAAAGCAAGGTTAACAGATACCTGGTGGGCCATCAAAGGTAGACTGCTTCTTGTCAGAGACTGGACATCTCAGTTCAAGTAACTCAGTATCTTTTTGAGAGTCTTCATAGCTTGAAAATTGGCTTGTTTCGATAATTTACATACATGTCTGATGACTTTATAAAAACCAACTAGCCCTTTCTACAACTGTTCCATCTTTAAAAATACAATGGTCTCTGTTGGCAAATATGTTTTTAAAGGTAATGTATTTTAGAGAGAATGAAAGAAATGGGGCTAGAAATCAACATCAGAGTATAAAATCATAATAGCAAGCAGTTTGATATAAGATAGACAGCAAATGCTTGAGCCTTCCCAATTCATAAAAAAATTTTCTTATTTAAGCTGTTTGTGATAAGTTTAAGAAGACATCTATAAATTTTTCTTCCATAAGCAATGAAGGGGGGACCCCTTAAGCTTGAATTTAGAAGATCCCTATTTTTTGTGACTCATTCCATTCACATGACTTTATTCCACAGAAGATGTCTGAGCTGGAGCCAAGATTCTCTTTAGCCCTGTACTTTGCTAGTCTGAAGTTATATTTATGTTCCTTTCAGTATCTGCATGCTTTTGACTTCTCCCCATCTTCTAGAAACCTATTTCTGACTGACTGTTAGCTAGCATGCTGTTTTTAGTTGTCACCTGTGTCAGGACACAGTCTGATGCATAAGGACTGTGTGGCTACTTTGTAAGCAAAACAAGACTGACATCATCACATCACTCGCTTCCAGCGCACAGGAATAATGATAACCCTTTATGTGGGTGTCAAGCGGGAAGCAGCAGGGAGTGAAATGTGGATGAATTGCTAAAGCTGTGAAGGCTCTGGGTGGGAAGGAGAAGTCTCGGGAATTAAAACCATGAAATCTTCTGATTAAGCCAGTGATTGTGTTTCCCCTTCAGCCAGGTGGAAGAGCTCAGAGACCACCAGCTTAACCACTGTCCACATGACAAAGCCAAAAATCTTTCCATACCTGATGGAAAGACTTGTACTGGCTTTGGTGAGATACCAGTGAAGCATACTCCAAGTAAATTATTGATTTCTAAAAAACAGAGTATAAATATTGTGTGCTCCTTAGAGAACTACCAGCAATCAGTCCCTTAACCAAACCTTGAGAGCCACTGACCTGCATCATTTCCTCCAGTCCATCCATCTGCTGAGGACCAGTGTGTTTTCAAGCAGCTGACTTGGGCTTTCATGAGTAAGCCTCATTTTATGCCGCCATGTGGCTGTGCTTCCCATCTGTGCTGAGTATAACGAGCACTTGCTGCTTCGCAGGCTGACCATGGCTGCACCAGCAGCTGACTGCCCAGCCCTGCACCCAGCCCCACTTAGCGTTCACATACGGAATTAAAACTACCAGCTGTTAGAGCCAACAGGTAGAGATGAGCGTCTTAGTAGCCAAGTGCCAGTTCAGTTCCACAATAAAGGAAGCCTTTGGTTGCTGCCAACCAATTCTCATTTCCTTGGGTCTCTTGCTTTGCTTTCCAGAATGACGACAACTTCTTAAATATCATCTATGAAGCTTATCTCTTCAGCACGACACAAGCAGCCATGAAAAAGACTATGTGAGAGCAAAATGTTTTTAACTGATTTCCAGATCCTACCAGGACTCGGCATTCTTGTGTTAAGTGGTGTTAAAATGTTTCTCCCTTTTTTAAAACAAGTATGTATAATATAAAATAAAATGTTTCTGACTTTTTAATGGGATCAAGCTTATTTAAAAAAAAAAGAAATCACAGCCTTCCTACACCTGGTACTGAGAGTTGTGGGGTAGATAAAGCGGGTTTTTCCCCCTCAGGTTACATAGTAAATGCCAAATGGAATTCCTCTCCCCCCACCGCCCTTTAAATGTATATAGGGTCTTTTCTAGAATAATTAGCCTCTCTATAGGAAAGAACTTGCTGTGAAGGGTCAAGGACTGCAGCCTTCAGTATGGACTGAGGCTCAATGTCAAGAAGACAAAGATTCTCGCCACTGGACCAATTAGCAGCGTCAGGATGGATGACGAAGAGATTGAGAGTGTTCACAGCTTCAGTTTGCTCGGCTCCACAGTCAACACTCTTGGTACCAGCAGTCAGGAAATCAAAAAGCGTATCGCGATGGGAAAGTCTGCTGTTAGGGACCTCTCAAAGGTATTCAGGAGCAACAGTGTCTCTCTGGAGACTAAGGTGCGCCTGATACAGGCCAGGGTATTTGCAATCGCTTGTTATGCATCAGAGAGTTGGACAATGACTAGGGAGGACAGAAGGAGAGTGGATGCTTTTGAGCTGTGGTGCTGGAGAAGGGTACTGAATGTACCATGGACTGCCAGGAAAACAAACAGATTCATCTTGGAGAGGATTAAACCAAGCTACTCCTTGGAGGCAAGGATTATGGGGCTTCGTCTGACATACTTTGGACATGTTGCCAGGAGGGATGGGTCCTTGGAGAGGGACATCATGCTTGGGAGGGTGGAGGGACAGCGCAGGAGGGGAAGAGCCTCTATGAGATGGATTGATTCGGTGACTGGGGTAATCGGGATGGGTGTGTCAGAGGTGGTGCGGTTGGCGCAGGATAGAGCAGGGTTTAGGGCTGTTGTGCATAGGGTCGCTATGAGTCGGAAACGACTCGACGGCACATAACAACAACATAGGAAAGAACTAAACTAAGAGTTTAGTTCTTTAAAAAAAAAAAGTCAAAGAAACTTAAACTCATTGCCATAAAGTTGGAACCCACTTATGGCCAGGCCCTCTCCCCCAGGCAGATGTTCAGAGGCTGTAAATCACACAGGAGGAGATTTCCCATCTTTCTCTCATGGGACAGCTGGTAGATTCGAACCACTTGCCTTTGAGGTTAAAAGGAGTCGCTCTGTTTTTTCACTGAACATAGAGACTGTGTCTCCTTACCATTTTACTTTTTCACTCAGCTGGTGTAGTTCATAGTGGATTGTGCTGCGAGGTCATAAGTGTCTCACAGTTTCAATTCACCAGTGGGAGGAAGATGAGCGTCTCCTGCTGAAATTTACAGTCTCAGAAAGCCATGGAGGGTCACTGTAGTGGGTGGTATGCTGCAAAGCCTTTTGTGTCACAGTGCATACAGACCACCAGGTGGCAGTGTCACCCCACAAATTAACCCACAAAGACCTTAATGAGCTTTTGAAAATAATAATGGTTTTCTTTTATCAAAGTAAAGCTTTCATTTGTAAAACTCCAGTTGGCATGGGTTACCCAGGCCTTTGAACAGAAATTATTTCTGAAGATATTTATAGCTAGTTTCTAGTGGATGGTGGTTCTTGGAGTCCACAAATGGCCCAGATCTCCCACAATACTTAATTTCTCCCAGCTCATGTTATTTCTTTTGAATCGGTGTGGCTGAATATGCCTGGAGCTGCCTCTAAGTGAACGGAATAATTGTTAGCAAAATGGACCTGGATAGAGGGAGGCTGTGGAGGGTGGTAAAGCCTCCTCTTGGCCCTAAGAATAGGTACATAGCGGATGATTGTAGGGGCATATTGGTGAGGATTCTTCAAGCTGTGTAGCACATTGATTTTTATGTTCACAGAGGTGAGGAGCTTAATCATGGAAGGAGCCGGAGGAGTCCTTGCCAAGTTGTTAAGGCCCAAAGAGGACGGATGGGAATTGGTCCCTGCTGAATATTAGTAATAGATAAAGCTCGGAATTTCCATAGCCCTTTTCACTCCTGGATCATGAAGGCATCTTTCGATTACTGCAAAGCAGACAGGTTTCCTTCTCATTTTATAGTCATAAAATGGAGGATGTGGAAAACCGATTTTCTTACTGTTTCTAGTGCCTAGACATGGACTTGAAGTCTTAGATTTTATTCAGCATACTTTTAAGCAAATGGTTTATTAGGACCCCACACTGCCCCCCTCTTCCCAGACATGTACTGTTTCTCCTAAAGAGAAAAGGGGTGCAGGTGCAGGTAGGGATTGACTGTTACTGAATCCTCTTTCTATTCCATACTCGTACTGAGAAACCTTAATCATTACCCCTGTACTTTAGGCAAGGGTCATCCATTTCTCTGGTATTTCCTGTAACACACTCATAGGCCCATATAAAGTTCTAACCAAACATTCAAAATGAATGGCTGCCTATATAATATTCTGTAATATTCTTACAAGGATAATGGAGCAAGGAGAGACCCCATGTGTATTTGTTATCCCAGAATCAGTGATATGCTCAGATGCCAGCCCAGCTGACTGGGGGTGGGGGTGTTTTCTTTTGTAAGTTCTTTTTTCTTTTTAAAATCTCTTCTATTTTAATTACATGTTTCACGTTACTTCTCTCTCTAGGGAGAGATGCAATCTGCGGGGTTTACTTTCGGGTTCTAGTTTATCTGTTGCTGTGATACTCCATTGAGTCCACTGTGACTCACAGTGGCCCTGTGAACAAGAAGTCCGAACCTGCCCCAGCTTGAGCCAACTCAGCGTCTCTGACACAGCTGCCCCATTGCCACACCGTGTCTGTCAATCCATCTCCACCTCATGAAATAGTTCTTTAGTAGCTTCAGCACTGAATAAATAAAAGCACATACCCATGGCAGCTCCTAAAGTGAAAGAGAGCACCTCCATGTGTTGTAGATGATGGAGGGAGGAATCTGTACCCAGAGTGTCAGAACTACAGCCCAGGCTTCACTGGGCCTTCTCAGGTCAGCACCACAGTGATCTGTTTTGAAAAAGAAGAAATTCTTCATCCTCTGCTGGAATGAATCACTTTAAAAGTGACAGGCCCAATTCATTTAGACCAAAGACTTGAAGTAACCTTTTTAAAGGGCAGTTGGTGATGGAGTGCTTATTTCTTATATATAGCAGAGGGCATGAGAGCTTCTTTGTACCAAAGAGCTTTCTCGGGTGAGCTCAAGAAATAGATTAAAGGGGCTGAGACATCTAATGTTACATTTTTATACACATGAACTTTTCTTCTCATGCTCAGCCCCAAATCCAGAGACCACCATGGTGCTTGCTCCAGGCCACAGTCTGAAGCTAACTGAAGCGCCACTGGCACCCTGAGGCATCTGTTCTAAAGGTAGCCTGCCTTGTCAAACGCAATGGGCTGCAACCCTCTAGAAGGGCTAGAATGAAAAGCTGCCTGGTACAGGAGGCAGAGCACCCGGCCTTTGGAATGGTGTGATCATCCTGCAGTCCATGGATGAGTGAATGTCACTGAGACCTTGTTCCTCATTTGTAAAACAAGGACAGTACCTGCCTCCCAGGGTTCTTATGAGGATCAAATAGGAATGGTGAGTGAGAAATGGCTCCCTTACTCCATGCACTCAGGAAACATTTCTCCTTGTCCTCTCTGCATTGTCAGGTTCCAGTGCTCCAGCCAGCAAGACATGGACAAGGTCTGCCGCTGCTGGGGGCTTCACTTGTCATCCTTCATGGGCTGAATGTCAAGTCTGGAGTTCAAGTGGTCACTGTGCCACCGCTCTCCTCAGTGCTTCCTTATCAATAAAATGACAACAGCGTGCTGTCGCTTCTTTCAAATAAAAAGCCATGAGTTCTTGAGACAAAGATGTTAGATGAAGAATAGTATTGATGTTACTGCTATTTATGGGTAAAGCACCATGTAGGATTTCTAATCTGGGAGGAAAGTTTCAGCAGTGCAAATGGTTAAGGTGTCTAGCTGCTAACTGAAAGGTAACAGGTTCAGGTCCACCCAGAGGCATCTCTCAAGCAAGCCCCAGTGATCAAATTTTCAAAAATCTCTTATTGAAAACCCCATGGAGTATACATGAGTCATGGGCATCTCTCTGGACAGACACACAATGCTAAATCCCCCATTTAGGAGGCCAGCTTTGGTGGAAATAGCAAGCTGAGGGACACGTTTTTAGAATCTTCAAGAACTACTCGGTGTTTGGCTTTACTGATACCTAGCCGCTCACAACTGACTTCTTCCAGCCCTTTCAGTGGGTGAAGACCCGGGCAGTTCTCAGGGTGAGGCCCCTTGTTTGCACCTGGAAGGTTTATTCTCCTCTCCAACACCGGTCCAACTGCTTTTCTGAAGTCCCCATGGCAGGCAGGACTTTGCTTCCTTCCTTTTGAATGAGAGAGGCACAAATCAGATGAGAAATACCTTTCCTTCTAAAGACATTCCAACTGCATAGGAAGTAATAGCAAAAGCGCTTACATGTGTTAAGGCAATCTCCTTTGGTGGGAATACTAAAGACGGGACATCACTGCACAGGTGTGGAAGCAAGTTGACTTCTTTGAGGAGAGGAAACACACTAGCCTTCACTGGGTTCAGGCCCCTGTCTATATGGATGCAGGGAGAAGCAGTATGTGGGTGCTGCCCACGGAGGGTGCGACGAAGGAACTGGCGTCACAGTTTTGGGACTTTTGTCTCCAGATTATGTGGACAGGTTGACTACTCAATTCCTGTAGCGGTAAAGAAAATGCCGCTTCCTCTTCCTTTCTCTCCTCCTCCTCCTTTTTTAATTCAGTGCCTGCTCCATTTGGACATGTGCTTCCTCTCTGTTCAAAGACATCAACTTGCTTCCAGACTCAGGAACACTGAGCCATCTTTAAGGTTAAATTTATCACTTGCAGCCAGCAGGTTGTAGCAACACTT